ATGTGGGATTTGTTAGTTCCTGTGACCCCATGCCTCTGGAATTTCTACCATGCTCAGCAATGAAGCCTTTTCGTGAGGCAACGAGTTAGTGCATGTTGAGGCTGTTCCTGGTAGTTCCATTGACAGTCCAGTTGTGACTCCAAGGCATGACAATGTTAAGTATGAAAAACCTCATCGAATCTTTAGTGGTGAAATACCCTTACCACAGAGGCTATTGGAAATTCCAGAAGGATGGGATTGGTCAATTACATATTTTTTTAAAGGTAAAAACCCTGTTTTCCTTAAAAATCACTATCTTTTAAACTTTTGAAATTTGTATTGTTTTGCGTCTTCCCTTTATGGATTAATTGTGAAATTACACTGAGAGTAGGATGAGATATTAATTGATATTGAGATATTAATTGGTATCCACTTGGCAGTGGCGAGATTGGGCGAGTTTGTGCGAGATAATGCGAGTTTAGGCGAGTTAAGGCGAGATAAGGGAATTTGAACATAATCTCAAGTTGCGAGTTAGGGCGAGTTAAGGCGAGTTAAGGTCCCAGAGTAGGCCTGTTTGTTTAATAGGAGGCGTTTAATAGAGAGAGGCGCTTATTCTCATAGCTGTAACAAACTCCACAAAACTAAAATGTTTTCCTTGTCACTACTTTAATCATTTGTTTCATTCTTTTTTGAGTTAATTCTCAGCACTGCCTTAATACCTGATAAAGAACGGCTTTTGGCTCCTGTTTTTGCCCGGGAAACGTTTCGTTAAGAACACGACGTTACAAAGTCGCTTCCATCTCCTCAATATGAAGATTGCCACTGACAAGTATTTCTTCATTTCCATAAGGCCAGTTGTAAGATTACTTATTTCCAAGAGACATGCTCTTGTCGTTTCTTAATTACCTGCCTTTCTGCGCTGTCAGTTTTAAACCATGTCAGTTATATAATTGTTTAATAAAAAGAAAGAACACCCCGAGTATATATAACCAGAGTATATGTAGCCTAAGTATCGTTACAAAACTGAATAGTAGTGGTATGTTATACATCAATTGTAGAGAGTCTACCTTAAGTTCTGACTGAGCCGCG